GCTACATTTTAATAAACAACACAAAATGGCTTGTAAAACCATTTTCAGAAACTGAAGCATACAAAAAAAAATTCCTGTAATACTAAAATGGATTAAATTGTGTCCCCCAAAAAAGATATGCCTATCTTTTTTTTAAAATCCTCACCCAAGGATATTTTTCCATTTATTTTAGAGAGTGGGAGAGAGAAAACAAAGAGAAACATCGGAGGAGCCTGCAACCGAGTTACATGCCCCGAGGTATGTGCCCTTGACTGGAATCAAACCTGGAACCCTTTGGTCCACAGGCCAACGCTCTATCCTATGAGCCAACCGGCTAGGACAGATTTGCCTATCTTAAGAATGAACCTTATTGGAAATACAATATTTGCAGATATGACTAATGGTCTTGAAACAAGATCATCTTGGACTTAGGGTAGGCCCTTAATCCAATGACTGGTATCTATTTAAAAGAAAGGAGAGGGAGATTTAACACAGAGTAAAGATGTGTGAATTGGAGGCAGAAAATGGAGTCATGCTAGCCCTGGCTGGGTAGCTCGGTTGGTTGAGCATCATCCTGTATACCAAAAGATTGTGGGTTTAATTCCAGGTCAGGGCACATACCTAGGTTACGGGTTTGATCCCTGTCCGGGCATATACAGGAGGCAACTGATCCATGTTTCTCACATAGATGTTTCTCTCTACTTTCCCCTCCTCTTTCAAATCAATTAAAAAAAGAAGAAAGAAAATGGAGTAATGCTAATCCAAGGAAAACCAAGGATTGCTGGCTGCTACCAGAAGCTAAAAGAGAGGCATGAATGGATTCTCTCTCAGAGCCTCCAGAAGCAACCAACCTTGCAATCACCTTGATATCATACTTCTGGCCTCTAGAACTAAGTGATGAACTGCTGTTGTTTTATGCCACTAACTACCATACCAGTATGTGGTGACTTTTTATGGTAGCCCTAGGTAACCAATACAAATAGTTAAACAGTATACCTTTGAAAAATTCAGAAAAATAAATTTCTTATCTTCACAAATAAGAGCAAAAATAAGGTTAAGAAATAAACAAATTTGTTTTTAGTACCTAAAACCATATTTTACTTAAACTTATATTAAGTAGATTTTGTTTATAGGTAAGCAGTGGCTTACGTTAAACTGAATTCAGTGCAACCTCTAAATATAAAATGTTTTATTTTCAAAGTATACAGTTTTAAAAGTTGTAAAACCAAAGTTATATTCATATATACTATAATTTTAAAAATTCATGCTATTTTTAAAGAGAGTAATAATGGTGAACAGATGAAGTACTACTTTATTGGTATTTCACTACAATATAAATCTTAATGTTATTCTTAATGGAGGTTTGTATTATCAATGTAATTTGATATTAGGTAAGGGTCAATATTTTGTTTATTCTCTATAAAGGATTTAATCCAGTGCTCCCCTTTAACCCTTAGACCATGTGTAACCCTTAGACCATGTTTCTAAGTTATTTAAGTTTTGCTTTTTAAAAAAAATATATTTATTGCCCTGACTGGTTTGGCTCAGTGGATAGAGCGTTGGCCTGTGGACTGAAGGGTCCCAGGTTCGATTCCGGTCAAGGGCATGTACCTTGGTTGTGGGCACATCCCCAGTATGAGGTGTGCAGGAGGCAGCTGATGGATGTTTCTCTCTCGTCAAAAAAAAATATATATATTTATTGATTTCAGAGAGGTAGGGAGAGCTAGAAACACAATGATGAGAGAGAATCATTGATCAGCTGCCTCCTGCATACCCCCCACTGGGGGGTCGAACTTGCAACCTGGGCATGTGCTCTAACTGGGAATCGAATTGTGACCTCCAGTTTCATAGGCTGATGCTCAATCACTGAGCCACAAGTTTTGCTTTTTTAAGTGAGAGTATGCTTAAGGAACACACAAATAATTTCAATGAGTGGAAACAAATAATAAATCCCTCTAGTTGCAAAAATATAAATGATTGTATATTTTGTTAATTTTGCTTATCTATAACACTGGTATCTTCAATTACCAAATAAGATTTGATTGTAATATGGCTGACAACATACATATTTTCTCTAGAAGGGGCCCACAAATAAATATACATTACATTTTCAAGCACATGAGTCTTTATGTTAAGTACTACTTTTTAATAAAAGTACAAATTTAATTTTAAAATATTTTAAAAATTATTTCAAAAAATATCAAGAGTTTGACCTTATTGAAACATTTTTAATTATACCTTCCACATACATGCAATAACCAGCTCAGGTAACTTAATTTTACACATTTCCCTGAATTATTTAGCTAAGATCAAACATTATTATATAAATTTGGTAAAACTATTTTCTTAGAAATTATGATCCTCTGAGGCTTGACATTTTAAATTTAATTGCAGTCACTCAATTTCAGTACTTAAAGTACTAAAAATTAAATTAATATTATCAATTCTTATGTTCATTTAATCTATATGGTCATGGTAATTAGCATTGAATATCGCTCTCATTGACACACACATCTCCTTTTAGGCTATGTTTATAACTATTAAATACATGTAATAAAACCATGTCAATATGCTATTCTGTAAATGATAATATTCTTATATGACAAATCCATACTAGACAAAATACTATTTTCTCTTTCCCATAATATACAGATGGCATGAGCAAACTCCTAAGTCTTAGATAAGTCAATGGCTTTTCCTATCAAAACTCTCTCCAACGAGCTTCATTTCCTAAAACTTCCATGTCTCCTCAAGGAAAAGTTTAACTTCATGGATATTTTCAAAAGGGACAGAAATTTTCACAAATTCTTGTTTTTGTCTCAAATTTTGCATAGGAAAATCTTATATTCCACTAATTCTATATAGGAAATTCTGTATTAACGGTAAAATATGTTTGAGATTAATAATTATTTAAAACACTAATTATAATCCTTCACTAAGACATATTATTAATATTGCATACTGCTATTAGCATTTAACTTCAATTTCCAATTTAATTTTGAATATATTTTAATGTAATTGACTTACTTATATAAATGGTAATGTATCTAAGATTACATATGCAAATTATCAATTTATATAAAAACATACCAATGTAATTTCTAAAAATCATTCAAAAAATGGTATTTCTCTAGCAAAAGTAAAACATTTTAAAAACCTAATTTCTTATAAAAAAATTTTAGTGAGCTTAATTTTATCTTCTTAATATGAAAAAATGACTTTTAACTATCTGCTAGACATTCATTCAAATACTGTCAACATTTTTTCTTTTCAGACTTGACATAATCAATGATGGGTTGAATAACCTTGGCTGAACTAAATAACAAAATATAAACTCAATTTTATTTAATTCTCCAAGCCCAAGTCACAAACAAAAGCACTGAGGATCAAACATAAACATCTCAAGGGAGTTCAATGGAAGCCAATAAACATGCACAGGCCACCTGACAATATGACTTCAACATTGAACAAAGTCCTCCAAAACATAGCTAGCCATTTGCCAGTTTCATAGCACTGATCTTGCACATATTTTGTGTGTTCTATGAACTCAATGTCAGTGCTGCTCTTGTGATACTCAAGAAATTCAATGAAACCATCAAACCAATATAAGAAATGTTAAAGGGAATTCAAGAAGAAAAAAAAAGGATCAAAAATATGAATAAAATGGCAATAACTACATCTTTATCAACATTTTTAAATATAAATGGTTAAATGCTCCAATCAAAAGACAGTTTGGTTGAACGGATAAGACAAGACCCTTATATATGCTGCCTGCCAGAGACTCACTTCAAATCAAAGGACACACAGGCTGAAAGTAAAGGGATGGAAAAAAATGGAAAAATGGAAAATTTTACTTCCAGCTTCAATACTCATCATCTCCAAGGGGAGCAAGCAAAGAGGGATTTTGTTGGATAAAAGGGAGTGGGAGGGAGAGGGGAAAAAAGTGAGCCAGTTCATTTGCAGTCTTATTCGAATTTCAAATATAAAGTCAGCAAAATATATTAATCTAGTTATTTCTCCAAGACACTTTGATATTAAGATAAATATTGTGCTGTACTTGCTCCTATCTATTGGTTATTCAGAGAGCCAGATTGCTTTCACAGCTTCGCCAATCTCCAAATTGCTCAGTCAGACATCTAGTTTCTTAACTACTAGAAAAGAATCCATGATCAGATGAAAGTCTCACTTTACATTTAACTGTCAAGTTTTTATTTTCCTGAGGAAAGCACATGATTGATTAACTACCACAGAAAAAACAAAAGGAGATTTTGGGGAGTGTGTATTCATAGAGATCCTCAAATATCATTAAAGAGGAAAACATCCCCATAAAAGAAGGCTTCTTTTCTATTTCCCAAAGTTGCACACACATCTTCCTTTGCCATCACATCCTCATTCAAAAACCTCTAGAACCACATTATAAAACAATCTGCTATAACAATGCAAGTCAGATTATGTTCCAATAAAAACTTATTAGTACCTAGCAGAAAATCAAGTAGCCCAAAAAAACCCAGAATTAGTTATAGTCCCCAACACATAATAGAAATCTTCTGTATACACAATAGAAACCAAACATGCCTAGTTCGACATACCTTGCAAAATAAAAAAGGAGAGGTACCCCCATCAACTCACATATCCGTGAACATTCACACTTCTATTGAACATTTAGTAATAAAATATACCTAGCAAGAACTGACTTCATTACCCCTACATTAGAATTTCTAAAATAACCCTGATAGCTCATGTTGTGATTTTGTTTGATCACCTAAAAGCCTAAGAACCCATATTTACTATTTATTACAAGGGTATTTATAAAAATGTATTTGTTTGAAACAAAAGAATTAAATGAGTATGATATTATTATTGATATATTTATATATCAATATATTATTGATAATATATATGATATATTGTACATCTTTTCTTTCTGTAGCCTAGGTAGGGACAAAGCTTTCTAGGAAAAAAACAAAAAATCCTTTTATATGAACCCTGACACCTTCTTTGTAAGTAAGAAAAAAACATAGTTGAAAGTCTGAATTTTTTTTTTAATTTGGGGACAGGGTAGAGAGAGGGAGGTATACTGTCTTTCAAATATAAAGAATACAAACTGGCTTAACAGGTAGGTTTTTTAGGATCGTTTAAGATGAACATGCAATAATTATTATTATTTGGGGGCAAGAGAAAAATGAAAGCGAAGTTTTATAAAGATTGATTCAAGTGAACATATATATTTACAATGGAATTAGAAAATCCTTAGCTCCCTGAGCTAAATAAAAGTAGTCATTTATTGCACCAGTGTGTATTTTTAAGCAAATACAGAAGCAAAACTCATTAGCTATTTAAAAAATACACACATTTAATGTTGGTCTGTTTTAATTCTACGTAAAGCAATTCCAAAAATACAAACTGAACATCAGAGCCATGTGAACCACCATGATAAAATAAAACAGACATTCACAATAATTACGTCTAAAGACAGTTCAGCTTAATAAATCATCTTCCAAGTATGCCAAAGAGTTTCTAAAAATACTGCTGGTGTTCAGTTAGAATTAAAGGACTTTGGGGAAAATGAAATAATATGATACAGGTGGAGTGAGTAAGGTTACACGGGATTTACATTTTCCATTACCCCTAGATATAAACAAACATTCAAAATCAACACAAACTCTGTGTTATTCAAAATATTGCAGTGCAGGAAAGGCAACTTTAAATTAATAGCTAGGGGGAAATCAAGTTTTGGTGGAGGTAAACAGAAATGACAGTTTTAATTCACACTTTTGTAAAGCTCATTTATACCTGGCCAACCAGGAACCAAATGCAGGACAACAATGTTCTCTGCTTCTTTTGGCTATAGTATGATAAGAAAAGGTCATCTTTTGAAGATGTTTAAAGAAATAAAGCAACTTTCATTATAAACAGTCAAATAATCAATCAATGGAATAAATAAGTACTAACCCACATTTTTACCGCTCTGTAATCACTACGCTTTACATATTTTTCATTTTGGCAGCAAATTCCCCAATTTTTAGGCTAAAATCCACCAATCACTTTTAAGAATAAAATGAATAGCCACCAAAATAAGAATATTTTTCTGTTTACTCTTTGGCTAAAAAAGAACAAACAAACGAAACAAAAATAAACAGAAGACAACTCTAACACTGGTGATAAAAGAAATTGTTTCTTTTTACATGTAAAATAAAATTATCAATTTAAATCTTGGTACATTTTATAAAAACAAGAGGTAATGTTGTAAAAAAACAGCACTAGCCGTGGCAGGCAACGTACTGTTTGTTAACCCTGTGCAATAAAATATTTTGTTCATACTACACTTATTCAACATGACTAACAGTTACTACAGACATTTCAGGAATCTTCACAGGACTCCTATAGACTTACTGTTAAAACTGAGAGACATTTACAATCAAAATGTGCCGTGAAAACTTGAAAACGTTACTTCTAGTAGGAGATAATGTTCATATTAATTGAATTTGTTTTAGGTACTGAACAGCTGAGTTACAAGGACTGAAAGAGAAAAGCATTCTAAAAGCCCATGAACAATGTTGTCCACACCCTTCTTCAGAGCACACTAAACTTGTTTGACACATTTCTCTTCATACATAGCAAGCAACAGCACCCAATAAAAGCCTGAGAAGAAATGCTGCTGTGTAAATACTGCAACTATTCCTGAAAAAAGAATTATGGGATATATACTCCAAAGCTGCCCATTCCCATAATTTGTATTGCATAGGTCACATAATCACACACATATACATACACAACTGTGTGTATATATATATATGCACATGCAAAGAATATATTAAGACGACAATGAAGTCTAGTCACAGAGCAATTTACAGGCTCAATATATATTTTTACACTTTGCTTGAAAGAAAATTTCAATATTTTACAGTCTTTTAGTAGGCATTATATACACTGCACTTTATGAAATCTAAAAGATATTGAAATAAATTTTTTCCAACATTTTGGTAACAAAACAGACAATTTTTTCAAATACTTGTGCTATCTAACTACAGAATCTGTTTGCTCTGATAACCACTCATCACAAAAACTGACTCAATGGAATAATTAGAAAAATTATCTAACACCATGCATGGGTTTGAATCATTTTTAATATCCTATCCTAGAAACATTCTACAAATCTTAAGATTTAAAAAATTAAGTCTCTGTTTGATTTTTAAAAGATATCTTTTTATGACAATATCCATAACATTGACAGATACACATTAAGGCTAGTATCATCTTGTTTTGTGAAATTTTTTGACATTTTTTTTAAGAAAGATAGTAAAAGCCAGACTCCTTTAGGGCTTTGAACTGTACCTATAGAAAATGAGAGTGCAGTGAACATAATGTTCAGTCCTACAGTCAGGATGCAGTTGCTCCTTCCCATTCCACAAGATACTGCACCTTTCCATCAAGTGTCACCCGACGAGCCAACACTCGGTATTTTTCACCACATGCTATTCTACCTGCAGCACCAAAATAACTGGTAATGGAGTTTTTTAGATGAGTGAGTTGTAACTCCTGATCTGCTAAGTTATTCAAAATCTCTGTGTTGAGTTCATCAAATTGGTAATCCTCTTTGCCTTCATCGTCTTTTACAATTTCTGAGTTCTGAGTCTGGAGTGCTCTTCTTGGAAGACGACCCCTCCGCCTCCGTAAATGAGGGATTGCAGCAGGCCAAGATCTTCCTGTACGAGTTCTTTTTCTGGAGTCAGATAAACTATGGAAGAAAAAAAGACCATAATTATCCACTACGTTTATAAAGTATCCTCTGCCCATACTATATGTTTTTTCTGATTATTTTTTTCTATCACTCTGTTATAGTATATATCCTGGTGACATAAAATTAGCCAAACCAAAACAATAAATGCTATATAAATGGATCATCACTCGCCTTCATTAGATTCCATCACCTTCTTGGGGCTGACTTTTGAAGAGCTTTTCTTCCTTAACTATGATCTATTAAGCTTAAAAGAATCAAAGGAAATTTTTGGATTACGAGGCCGAGTCAAATTCTTACCAAGAGGACCCTATTAGTAAGTCAGGTTTTGTCAACACTCTTATCATTAACATCCCCCACCCCCCAGAAAGCCAGTTAGTTCATTCTTTCAGTGCAGCAAATATACAATCTTATCATTAACATCCCCCACCCCCCAGAAAGCCAGTTCATTCTTTCAGTGCAGCAAATATACAACATGTACAAGACACTGTTCCATGTGCTTAAACAGATGGTAAAACTAGAATAAAGCGTGTCTTATTACCAGTTCTAAGCCTAGTAAAGTAAGGAAATGAACTGGAATAAGCATAAACTAGAAGTCAGGCAATCCTGAGTACAGCTCTTGTTATATTGGCCAAATTCAAATCTCTTATCTTCTGTGTTCTCTTAAGAGAAAAGATTAAGTGAAGGAGTTGAACTAGATCATCTTTGAGGTCCTTTTCTGCTCAGAAATTTAATGATTTTATGAACTTATAACAAAGGGAGAATAGGGCACAACTGCTAAATTCAAAGACTTTATAATCACACTACAGTTAACATACCAGCTCTGTTACACTTGCTAAACATGCTATCTTGGACTTGTTACTTAAAACCCTCTAAGTCTCAGTTTCCTTATCTGTAAAATGGAAATAACAGGACCTACAACTCAAAAGACTGTTTTAAGAATTAAAGAAGATAATATATGTAAAAAGCTTAGCACAATGCTTGATAAGATGCCAAAAAATAGGTTACCTAATTGTTCATGATTCATTTAAAAATGTTACATTTTAAGCCTTCAAATACTTAGAATATTATATAATTTACACAAGTTTTTTAATTGTGAACAAAAATTAAACAAAGAGAAGTATAAAACTTGGAAGCTCGAAACTCTGACCCCAAGTAAACAAAACTTTTCATAACTGATGAGTCATACTTTATGGAAAAGTTTTTCTTCTGAAGAGTTTAGGTTATGCAAAACATTAAAGAAATCTGCTATTTATAAAAATCCTGAGTTTAAAAATCCTTTTACTAACAAAAGAACTTATGTTTCAGGCTCTATCCCCAGTAGGGGGCCTGTAAGAGGCAGCAAATCAATGCTTCTCTCTTTCCTTCTCCCTTCCTTTCTCTCTCTTCAAAAAAAAAAGTCAATAAAAATATATTAAAAAATATTTTAAAAGAAAAGCATAAAAAAGTCTCACAGAAAAGAGCACAGACTATAAACATTTGTGTGCCTCTTTTCTCAGTGCACACAGCCAATTTTCTAAAAAATTTGAATGTTCGTGCTCTAAAAAGCAAAATTATTCAAATGAATATTAACAACCTAAAGCATCGACATATTGGTTGCTTCTCAAAAGGTGAAAAACATACTTGCATCACTTTCCATTGGAAAATATGTCGTTAATCATCATTTCACAAAGAAAAAGAGACTACAGGAAAAATAACAAAGTATAAGAACATAAAATATCTACCCATAATGCCTGGCAATGCTAGACGAGGTAGTTTCTTTTGCACTGGAAGCACCCGTGAATTCCACATCTGAGGTATTAGATGAATGTGCAGATCCCTCAGTTCTCCTGAGACAAAAGAATTTAAATGGTAAAACGACTATATTACATAACAATAGAAATACTAATTCCCCCCCAAAAGAAAGTTCTTAGGATAGGAGAAAGTAACTTTCTATTTACCCTATAGAACAAGGTAAATCCAAGGTAGGATTTTCTGAAATTGATTCCTTATCCTGGAAAATACAAAAATATATATATTTAAAAAGCATGATTCTAAAGTAAGCTGAAAAGATACTAGTTTCTCAGCCATTTCAAGCACCTTTCCTCTCTGAGAACATATACAAACATATTATTCTCTTACCAAAGACGGCTCAGCAGTTTTCTGAATCATTTTTCTTGTATATGGACCAGGTGGACGACCTACAGATTTTTTCTTTCCTTTTTTTTCTATGCCATTGCTTACTTCCCTGAAAAATAAAATCATTATGTATTTAATCTCTGCATAAAGAGAACAATAACAACAAAAACAATGGACAATATACACTGTCATATCTCTATGTAATAATTAGGTTATGCTTATTTTATTTTTATATTAATGATAATATAAAAACAAAATAAATATAAGTTGAATCTATAAGTTTGGCCAAATGCACAAATAATACTTTCTAATTTAAATAAGTATTTATTGACTTAAGAGATATTCACATATGAAAGGTTTAAGAAAATTCTCTTTAATACGCTTGTGAAAAATACATACTACCTAAAAAATTTTTTTTTAAATGAAGAAACAGCTATTTCAAATGGAAAAGTTCAAAACTCCTGAAAGTTCCATTATATAGGTTAGGTTGTTACTAGTAGTTGGGTACCTGGGGGATGTTTCAAGGATTTATTACTAAAAGTAATTAGGAATTCAGTAGTTAAACCCACAGAGCCAGGAAGTAACTATGTTAAAATATACTAATTATAAATAGAGGTTACCTTTAGATGTATATACCTAAATTTTATATATACATATTCATTCTTCAATGATGATAATCAGAAAGAGAATGAAGCCCACGGTGGGAGAGGGTAAAGTGAATGAGTCGTTCAAAGGGCAAAATTAGAAAGATCTAGAAAACCATTTTGAGACATAAAGGCAAATAGCAAGGAAAAAAGCAATAGTTAAGGACACCTCTAATTAATACAAGGGAAGAAGAAAAGGGCAACTATCAATATACAAAACATCTATTTCACTTATTCAACATTATCTACCATATAAATTGGATATTACATAATAGGAATACCGAGATGTTCTCGGTGCTAATGGGTTAACAAAATAGTTAGAAAGTGACAAATGTACATACAAGCAAGCTAATTAAATGGGTTAAGTGTTATAAGAAAGTTATCCAGGAAAATTCAATTAAAAACAACAACAAAAAAATGAACAATACTATAGATACAGATGGAAAGAGGTGAATGGAGAAAAGTAGGAAAGAATACCTCTCCAGACACCAAATTAAGATTGGAGAATAAAGGTGGAAGTACAAGTAAGGAAGCTAGAGGAACATAACTGCAATCAAAAGTCTCAAGGCTGCCAGAACCGGTTTGGCTCAGTGGATAGAGCGTCGGCCTGCGGACTGAAGGGTCCCGGGTTCGATTCCGGTCAAGGGCATGTACCTGAGTTGCGGGCACATCCCCAGTGGGAGATGTGCAGGAGGCGGCTGATCGATGTTTCTAACTCTCTATCTCTCTCCCTTCCTCTCTGTAAAAAATCAATAAAATATATAAAAAAAAAAAAGTCTCAAGGCTAAGATGGATAGGACACACACTTTCTTTTTTGAAGATGATCAACAGAAAATTTCTTAAGGACCGACCCCTGACTAAGGAAAGTACTCTCACATTAAAAGGACCACACTTCATACGTAGGGCCCAGAAGTAACTAAAAATGCCTTTAAAGAACGTTGAACCACTACCAAGTAGCATCAAATGAAAATCTGATAGCTACCACAGATAGAGTGTCCTATCAAAATCATAATAGGAATGAGAAAGTTTGTGCAAACCTTTTTCTAATTCATCATATGGGCAATTGCTAGCAAAGGATTAATAATAAAATTTGTAAGTGATAGTATTCTTTCCTTCAAAAAAAAAAAAAACAACAACAACCCTGAAGTAGCATCTACTTTATTACAAACTCAAAATAGATATGAAGCACTGCCAACCCTCTGGAATTACATTTTCTCACTCTCCAAAATGACTACCTCATACTTTTATTTGCTCCTTAAATGTCTCTTTCAGCTATCTTTGACTTATTACTTCACTGAGAAAATACAAGCTATCTGTCAATAACTTTAGTCATCTTCCAAATGGCAAATCCATCTACTTTATTACAAACTCAAAATAGATATGAAGCACTGCCAACCCTCTGGAATTACATTTTCTCACTCTCCAAAATGACTACCTCATACTTTTATTTGCTCCTTAAATGTCTCTTTCAGCTATCTTTGACTTATTACTTCACTGAGAAAATACAAGCTATCTGTCAATAACTTTAGTCATCTTCCAAATGGCAATATTTTACTTTTACAATAAAACCAGCATCTGTACCTATCTTCTCTTTTTTCACTTCATTTCAACAGAAAGACGTTAAGTTCTCCTACCAAAGGCTACTCCCACATTTGGACTCTAAAATCCCTTTCCTTTTGGCTTCTCAAAGACTTTACAATATCTTTAATTACCTCCCCTATCTCCTATACCAATCTCTTCTCCAATGCATCATTCCTACTAGCACACAAAAACAGGTTCCAATTATCTTCTATCTATTAAAAAACCATCACTTGATTACTCCCTCCTCTTCAGCTTCCATTCCATTATCTATTTCCCTTCACAGTAAAACTACTTCTAAGAGTTGAGGACACATACCCTTTGCACTTTCTCCCTTTTCATTCAGAATTCTTAAAGATTATTTCCTTTGTTATTATTATCATCATCATTATTTTGAATCTCCCTATGTTTCTTATTTGCAGAAAAACCCGTTTTGACATGTCAATTGGACAGTGCCAGATTCAATCACATTTTAACACACTTCAATTTGACTTCTATCTTTACCTCTCAAAAAAAAAATTGGTTTTGTCAAGGTCACTAATAAAAGAATGCTATCTTATCCAACAAACATTTTTCTCTCATCTTAACCCAGCTCTTAAAAACACTCAATACTATTTAATGCATTCATCTTTCTTGAAACAGTACCCTTCTTTGGTTTTCATGACACTAAACTTTTCTGATTTCCTATTTCACTGATCATCCCTTTTTGTGTTCTTCATTTATTTCACCTCTTCCCAAATCTCTAAATAGTATCAGAGCATTGTTCTAGGCCATATTCTCTTCTTTCCTCTTGCTCCCTAGGGAATTTCATTCAGTCTCATGGCTTCCAAATTTTTATTATGTGCCCTGACCTCTCCTGAGCACCCAATTGCCTATATCTAACATCATCACCATCACTTAGTTATCTCAAAATCAATGAGTATGAAACAGAAGAATGCTTCATTCACCTTGCCAAATTCTGTTCTTTCAGATCTTGGAAACAGATAACACCACCCACCAGTTGCTCAAGCCAGAAATCTGGGCATTTGTTAAACTTCATTCCTCCCTTTCTTTCATAAATTTAATTCATTCACATAGCCAATAAATTCTTCCAATAGTTCTCCTGAATCTATTTTCTCTCTCCATTAGACTGTTTACTATACAAGCAGGCATCATCTATCTCTTACCTAGACAACTTCAAGAGTCTTAATTTCATTTTCTCTTGCTTCTATTCTTACCTCTATACCTATCCATTCTCCACACAGCATCCAAAGAGGTACTTTCAAAAGATAGTCCAATCTACTTACATCTTTAAACAGTTCCCCATTATTCATAGAAAACCCAAAGTCCTTATGAAACCTATAAGATTCTATATGATCATGCCCTACTCAACCTTCTCAACATTTTGAAGCTACTCTCTACCCCCCATTCTTACCCCAAAATTCTTCTGGGAGTTCCTAGAACATGCCTCACAGTTTTCACACTTGTTATTTCTACCTGGAGTATTCATCCCTTTGTTCTTCAAATTATTAGGTCATTTTTATTCTTTAAGTTTCAACTTAAATAGGCCTTCCTTAAACCTCCTTCTTAGGTTGACCCAATCCATCCCAGTACAGTCTAAATCTGTGTGTTATTTCCTAAATGGCACTAGCATGATCTATAATTATTTTACTTTTATCACATTTCTTCCTCACCATAATGTAAACCCCATCAGGGCAGAAAGGAAGTCTGTCCTGTTTGTTATTATATCCCCACACTTAGTAAGATGCTAAATGGAATTAATGAATAAATGAAAAATAAAAAATAAATAAACAGGCCAGCACTTCAATTGTTTGCTAACCAAGTCAATAGTGCTTATTCCTGGAAAACCTAAAATCTGAAATAAATGAAAAAACATCTAGTATTAACTCTTTGTACCTTATCTAAGCAAAAAATTATACACAGTAAAACAAATCAGGGTAACTACCACTTGTACTTTCAAATATACTAATGAGACCAAACAACACACATTTTTAGTTACAAATAAGCTAAAGAGAAAAAACTAAGCCACAGATCAACTTTTACCTTGAATCAGACATAGGTTTGGATGCCTTTCTGCCTTTAATTTTAAATTCATGGGATGTTCCTTCAGGTTCTTTCTCTGCTTTGAACGCCACATTTGGTGGCACAGGAGGAACACGAATTCGCAACCCAAACAAATGCTTCTTCTTCTTTATTTCTTTCCCAGACATAAACCTAAATTTTTAAAAAAATTAACTAAAGATTTAAAAACTGAACAATATACATGGCAGACCCTAACTCAACTTTCAGATATAAAGTCTTCATACATGAAAGTCCACCCAATACTACAAAAACTACCTTTTCCCTTGCTTTCTTTGATTCTTATCTGCCCCAGAGCCAGTCCACAGTAGGTTATGATGGAAAAATTGGGAGGGAGGATAGCATCCGAAGGATGAGAGATGTGCACATGTCCACCTTTCTTTTTGAAACATGGCATCTAACTTTTTAGAGGAAAGCAGAGTATAGAGTGGTGTCTTCTTAGTCTAGTATGTTTTTCCATATTTTAGTGTCATCTGTTAAAAAATATCTCAAAAAAAGGTGTGGGACAAGAAGAATTTCACGTGAGAGTGTATCTGCGAGACACGCTGGTCGGGAAGTAGTAGGTAACAGCATTGCTAAAGACAGTCTAAGAAAATACAAAGAATAGCGTGTGTGTCAGATCTGAAACTAGAAATAACCTGGAGCAGAGAAATGTTATTTCAGTGTGGGCTTGGGTCTCTGAATAATATGCTCTGAAAAGTAAGAGCCTTTAAAGTCCTTATTCCAAAACACCCCAATCTATCTTAGCTCTGCCTGCCTAGCAACAAGAACCACTACCAAATGCTTGGACTATTCTTCCACTTTCATGTAGGATTGAAAAAGAGAAGCTCCCATTTCTATTATAATAGGAACACATGTATTTCTGGCACCCTAAACTGGATTACAGAATTCCCTGTCCCATAAAGTATTTTTACCAACACAATAACTGCTCATGTACTTTATGGCTTTTTGAGCTGGCCTAAAGATCTAGCTACTAGTAATTATAACATTTTTTTTAAATGAGGAAATGCTATTAAGTATAAAAACAGCAAACTTGTTATAAAAATTTTGTAATGTAATTCAATAGTTGGAGCTAGCATACACATTTAAAAAATTATTTCTATGTATTTTGAAAATATTTTAAAGAAATATAGATATGTTGGGTTTTTTAAAAAGGAAAGATTAGATAAAAAATATCAAGCAATATCACTTAATTATAAAAAACTTAGGCCACTGCCCGACTGGCATGGCTCAGTGTTGAGCATTGACCTATGAACCAGGAGGTCATGGTTTGATTCCGGTCAGGGCACATGCTCAGGTTGTGGCTCGATCCCCAATACAGGGTGTGCAGGAGGCAGCAATCAATAATTCTCTCTCATCATTGATGCTTCTATCTCTCTCTCTCTCTCTCTGAAATCAATTAGACCACTGATACTACTTTTCTATAACAGAGGCAATAACTAATCTCAGTACCATAAAAGACCTCATTTAAAAACCCACATTCTCTACAATATATTCCCCTACCTTATGCAAATTCCCACCAGCTAACAAGATTTTATTTTACTTTAGGTAGATTGCATTATAAAAACAAATCATTACTGGTTGCACAAATTGACCAGGCCAAATTCCCCTGAGATACTCATATGCCACCTCCCATTCCCCATTCCTATAGGATTGCTCTTCCCTTCTCCAATCCTTGAGAATCAATGTACTACTCTAACTAAGAGAGAATAGGACATTAGAAATTTTTAAACTGTATGTACTAGTTCTATACACAAATCCCACAATTCTTAAACAATGCCATTATTCCTTATACTGAATAAATGTCTCCCTCATAGGGAAACATAAAATAAATCAACTTACATGGTCTTGTAATCATTTAATGCCTCCAGAACATGCTCATATCTTTCAGATTTTGGTGTGTCTGCCAGCTGTGAAGTATCAAGAAACAATTTAACGTAGTATAATTTAATCAATTAGTAATATACAGGTGCTAGATAGAGGCAATATAATGCAGAAGAAAAGGGTAGTGACTGATAGAAGATCTAATTCCAGGTCTTAATGAAAAGCTGCTCTGTGATCTAAGGTTGCTTAACCTTTAAAGGCTTATTTTCTTACCTATAAAAATGAGAATATAAATCCTGAACTAATTACTTTACTAGTAATTGCAGATTAAATGATATGTCTGAAAGAACTATGAACTGTGTAACATCACAAAAATGGGATTATATTAGTTATTATTAAATTTATTTTAATTTTATAACCTGGGGGAAAAATATATTTGAATTTGCTTTAATATCAACCATAAAAGCTTCTAATAGGTATTAATTAGATATGAATAGGGAGTATAAAAAGTAATGAGAAACATACCATTTTATTTCCCAGTACTTTTAACATTAGTAAACTAATCATTTCTATAACTTTAAAAACTGTGAAATTTAAGGACATTATGTTTATAACAATTATAGACTTTAGCCAGCCCTAAAATCCAAATTGCCTCAGTAATTTTTATGATCTCAAATGATTTAAAAATCTAAATATTAAATTCTAGAAAATATTCTATTTTGTTTCAAAAGGGCTTCCTGTAGTCATTTCTGTATAATCTTCAAAGTTGAAACAGCAGAAAAATTCTGAATCATAAAAGTACCACCCTCAATTAAAGTCACAAAACCTTAAAAAAAAAAGTTTCCAAAACATCACAGCTGACTTTAAGAATTCTGCAAATTATCTTCTTCTTTTTTTTTTATTTGCAAATTATCTTCTTTACCAGGTAAAACTCCTAAATCTCAGAACTGCTTCAAATAAAGAGAGCAAGCAAATCTGCCACATAGAAGGCTGGAGGTAGAAGACATAAAGTCATCTACTCCAACTCTTAATTACTTAACAGATATAAAGATTAAATGAACTGCTCAAATTCACATGGCTGGTTAGTGAGAGAGCTAGAACCTGAACCCAATTGACAATAAGTCCATTCACTATTCATTGAGAGCCAATTCTGTGCAATGTGTTAGGTGCTAAAAGGGGAGAGAAGCAGTTTCGTGCTCATTCCTCCATATCACTTTCTCCTATTGTAATCTGTGAAGTGTCTAACGATAAAAAATTTCTATTAAAGTAAAAATAACAGAATCAAACTTTAAAGCTTGAAAGAGACCCTAGATGTCCATGTAATTCAAGCTTCTATCAATATACTGCAATCTTTTTATAGTACTGATAGTCATTCAACCTTACTATTACCGCTGATGAGGCACCTACTGAGACAGCCCATTCAATGAGTGCATGACACTTCCTTTTGGGAACTCTTCTATTCTCTCTTTTACAAGATAGATCTTCAAATATTTGACAGCAGCTATCATGTCTAAGTATAAGATTAGGTTAAAGTTTTTAGCAGCAACATCACATGATTATTTCATATTAAGCTATGGCTAACTAATTCCATCCTCTTCCTCATTCCCACCCATGTCCCTACCCTAACTCTAAAATCTGATCAGATGCCCTAACCGGTGTGGCTCAATGGCTAGAGCATCAGCCTATGGACTGAAGGATCCCAGGTTTGATTCCGGTCAAGAGCACAAGCCTAGGTTGCGGGCTCAATCCCCAGTAGGGGGCGTGCAAGAGGCAGCTAATCAACGATTCTCGCTCATCACTGATGTTTCTATCTCTCTTTCCCTCTTCCCTTTTTCTCTGAAATCAATAAAAATATTTTTTAAAAATAAATAAATAAAATCTGATCAGATGAACTTCTATCAAGTCAAGTATTTCCTGTTATACCTGCTTCTTCTGTACGGTTTGTGTATTTAAACCTAAAAGCAGAACTTTATAACTACAGTGGGGCCTTGACTTACGAGTGTCCCGACTAATGAGTTTTTCGAGATACGAGCCGTCTCTCGGCCGATTTTTTGCTTTGAGTTGCGAGCTAAAATTCGGGTTACGAACCAGCTTCAGATACCCCACCGCTAGTTGGCGCAGCGAACGCCACAACATCAGCCCAGCATCACGTGTCTCACTCGTTCACTTTTTGATTTGACATACGAGTAATTTGAGTTACGAGCTCCATCACGGAACGAATTAAACTCGTAAGTCAAGGCCCCACTGTATTGTTAATCTGATTTTGTTTGCAGCTCAGTGTTCAAAATTATTTTTTCTCTTGATTCTGTTATATTGAGGGTAGAGACAAAGACACACCCTCAAGAATAAACTCTCCCTCAAGAGTATTTCCAAGCCAAGGCCCTGGCCAGGTTGTTCAGTTGGTTAGAGCGTCATCCTCATATGCCAAGTTGCGGGTACGATCTCTGGTAGGGACACATTCAGTAAGCAACCAATGAATGCACAATTAAGTGGAACAACAAATCGAAGTTTTTCTGTCTCTCTCTCTCCCTCCCTCTCTTTCCCTTTCTCTCTCTAAAATCATTAAAAATATATATTTTTTCCCAAGACTTTGCTTTTGTTACTATCATTTGATTAGTTACAAATCCATTTAATTTTTACTTTAACTAGTTCACATTTCATTGTCTAATATGAAATTGAGTTGCACTATGGTACACCATGCCCATACCAGTTTTGCTAACCATAACAAAAAAGAATCCAGAGAATTTAACATGATTTATTCTAATAAATCAGTGTTATTTCCCTACTGCTTCTTAAACCATGCACTTGAAAAATCTGCTCTTCAATTTGGCTGACAAACAACAACTGACTTTCTAATTTCTCAAATCCACTCCTTTTTTCTTTTTTAAAATCACAATGAAGTCTCATCTTCTTTTAATACTTATTCTCTATAGCTCTCAGAAATTTTATCTTTAAGTTCCTTCAGCACTCCTGGGTTATAACTGCATAGGACTGTATTTCAATTTGCATAATGAGGTCAAGGGATCCCATTCTGTGTTTTGAAAACTAAGAGTGTGACTGAAGTGTAAATAAAATAATCTGTATTAGAAAACACCAATCTCACACTGTGCTTTTACTTTCAGGGTTGTATATTTCTGTACAACATAAATGATATTATGTATAGCTACAACTCTTTCCACCATTCAATTATTCATGTTGAATTCCCTGCCACATAGGCTTAAGCATGACAAATAGCTTAAGTAATTTGTCCACAGACTTATATACTACATGCTAATATATAACACTCAAGGCCCCATGTGTTTTTGTTAACTAGATTTCTTATTATACCTGCTCCATCATACCACATTTCCCATTAGCCAAAACATCATTTCTGCCATAGTATTTCATTTGAGTTTTATCTATGCTTTTCCCCTTATATCCCTCAAAAGTGAGATAGCACTCTACACATTGTTAAGACCACAGTTAACAGAAAAGTGGGTAGTCCTTTCAGAACTAGGACTTCAAATCACATTAGGAATCAAAGACAAATGATAACAGGCAGATTCTAGAAAGTACTGATATCTCATTTTAACTCGCAAAAGAGATCTGCTACAACCGTGATACATCATTCTAAATAAAAACCTTAAGCAACCTTTATTTGGGGTCCTAAATAGTATATTACACATTTTTACTAATCCCAAGAAAACATTCCAAAACAGATTCTCAAACAGCTATACTCAATCAATGAAATCATTAACTCACTACTTCTCAAAGATATAAAAAATTTACATAAGAAAACATATCAAATTATATGTTCTATATGTTCTAAAAGTTCCAGCTTCTTTTCACAGCAATCCTGAAAATAACCATCTGAAAAAATAGATATGCTACATAAATGTTAAATTTGCCTTTCACTATGAAAGACATTTAATGATTCTGAAACTTCTTTTTGTCATTAAAAGAGGTCACGGGCCCTGACCTATGTGGCTTGGTTAGAGCATCTTCTGTGCATCAAAAGGTGGTGGCGGGTTCAATTCCCAGCCAGGGAACAGACCCAGGTCCCAGTTTGATAACTGGTAGGGGCACATGCCGGAGGCAGCCAATTGATGTTTTGCTATCACATCAATGTTTCTCTCTCCCTTTCTCTCTCTAAAATCAATTAAAAAAAAAAAGTTCATAGTACTACTTTATACCAAATAAAAAAAAGAAGTACAAAATACTAAACAGACACCACTGATTCAATATAAAATTGTTCAACTAACTAGAAATGTAAATAATTATTTATTAGGCTTCTCAAACAACATAGAAATACCATTTGACTTTAGCCAGAGTCATCATATGTTATAATTTAGCTTGGGAATCTATATGTATAAAACCCTAATATGCAAATAGACCAAAGGGTATAACAACCGAACAACCGGTCACTATGACATGCGCTGACCACCAGGGGGCGCGCGCGGAACATGGCAGGCGTCAGCAGCATGTGGCAGAGTGCAGAACATGGCGGGCATTGGCCATGGCGGGATGGTGAGAGGGTTTGCCAGACCAAGGTGGGGCGCTGGTTGCTGTCATCCGGGCAAGCCTCCAGTGGTTACTGAAAATTTTTTGCTTCCGCGCGCCACGCTCCCTCGCACCTGCTGCCAGCACTGGAGCTGCTGCTTGCACTCGCTGCTGGCGCCCAGCGCCGGCCCAGATAGCTCGGCACCGTCAGCAGCGGTGAGTTTTATCTATGCTTTTCCCCTTATATCCCTCAAATATAAGTCAGCGGGGGCGAGCAGCGGCTGCCGGCCCCAATTGCGTCTGAGGGATTCTCCACCTCCCCCTGCTCCTAAGGGGCGATGGGGCCGGCAGCCGCCTCTCGCACCAGCTGCTGGCACCGGCCCCAATCGCTCTGTGCCATCAGCAGGTGCAAGTGGGGCTGATGCCATCAGCGTATGGGAGCAGTGGCAGCAGAAGCGGGGCTGCTGGCAGGAGCAGGGCTGCCAGCAAACAGGAAACTGGGGGCCGCAGCGGGAGGGGCTGGGCGGGGGTGTAAAGGATGGGCCCACCGCAGCTTTGTGGCCCACAGTTCCTTTCAAGGTGCAAGAATTCGTGCACTGGGCCCCTA